AAATTTGAATCATTTGAAAAGTTTAATGAATTCAAAAATGAAGATGAGAAACAAACTGGAAAAGTATTAAAATACTTCGATCCGATTGAGGTGGTGAATACTTAAGCTAGGAATTTCGAAATTATCCATTAGAAAGTGGGATTCTTTCACAATGGACTCCACCTGGAACACTCCAACACAATGGAGTGTTAGAAAGGAGGAACCGCACCTTATTAGATATGGTACGGTCCATGATGAGTCTTGGAGACTTGACTCTATCCTTTTAGGGATATGCCATTAATACTGCAGTATAACTTCTAAATAGAGTTCCATTCAAATCTGTTGATAAGACACCATACGAGATGTGGGCTAATAAAAGACTTGTTTTATCATACATAAAGATTTGGGAATGTGACACTTATGTGAAGCGTTTGGTATCTGATAAGCTTGGAGCTAAATCAAATAAAAGTAAGTTTGTGGGATATCTAAAGGAAACTATTGGGTATTATTTCTACCATCCTGTTGAGAGAAAAGTGTTTGTCTCAAGACATGCTACCTTCCTTGAAAATGAATTTATTTTTAAAGGAAGCAGTGGGAGCTAAGTAGAACTTGAAGAAGTTCAAGAACCTTAAACTGACATTCAGATGAAGAACAAGAGATTGTTGCATTAGATGAACAATCAAATACACAGGTTAAAGAACTACCACATTAGGGTGCGTCGGGCTCCTATAAGGTTAGACCTTCTTGTGGAAACTCGAAACAACGCTTTACTCATGCCAGATGAGCCTAACACCTATAAGGAAGCAACGTCTAACATTGATTCCTTAAAATGGCAAGAAGCCATGAAATTTGAAATGGATTCCATATGTAGCAACCAAGTATGGACCTTGGTTGATCCACTTGAAGGGATAAAGCCCATTGGGTGCAAGTGGATTTTTAAAAGAAAAAACCAACATGGAAGGAAATGTACATACGTACGAAGCTAGGCTAGTTGCAAAAGGATACAATCAAAGGAAAGACGTTGATTTTGATGAAACCTTTTCACTAGTAGCCATGCTTAAATCCATTAAGATTTTACTTGCAATTGCTGCATACTATGATTATGAAATTTGGCAAATGGATATCAAAATTGCATTCTTCAATGGAAATCTAGTTGAGGATGTGTATATGACACAACCTGATGGTTTTAAATTAAAAGAATTTCTTAATAAGATATGCAAACTGCAAAGGTCCATTTATGGACTTAAGCAAGCTTCGAGGAGTTGGAACATCCGTTTTGATGAAATAATCAAACAGTTTGATTTCATTAAAAATGTGGATGAACCTTGTATGTATAAGAAGGTGAGTGGGAGCGGGATTGTATTTCTTATTTTGTATGTTGATGACATATTAATAATAGGAAATGACATACCATTGCTGCAATCTGTAAAAGTTTGCTTATCCAAGAATTTCTCCATGAAGGATTTGGGAGAAGCAACTTACATATTTAGTATTAAAATCTTTAGAGATAGGTGTAGAAGGCTGCTAGGACTACCCCAATCCACATATATTGATAAACTACTAAAATGGTTTAGTATGGAGGAATCCAAAAGAGGATACCTACCTGTATCACATGGAGTACGTCTCTCCAAGAACATGTGTCCTAAGACACAAGTTGAAAGAAGCAAGATGGAAAAGGTTACATATGCTTCTGCAATAGGATCCATAATGTATGTGATGCTTTACACTAGACTAGATATATCTTATGCTTTAAGCATAACTAGCAGATATCAGTCTGACCCATATGAAGGTCACTAGACTACTGTTAAGACCATCCTGAAGTATTTGAAAATAATTAAGGATGCTTTTTTGGTTTATGGAGGGACTAATGAGTTAAGAATTCATGGATGCACGGATGCAAGCTTTCAGTCAAATGTTGATGATTATATCACAATTTGGGTATCTTTTTACTCTAAATGGTGGAGCTTTGAGTTGGAAAAGTTCCAAGCAAGAAACCGCTACAGATTCTACAACTGAAGCTGAGTACATCTCTGCATCAGAGGGAGCGAAAGAGGTTGTTTGGATTAAGAAGTTCATTACTGAACTTGGTGTGGTTCCAAGCATTGTCGAACCGGTTACATTATACTGTGACAACAATGGGGCTATTGCACAAGTTAAGGAGCCAAGGTCTCATCAAAAATCCAAACATGTACTTAGAGGATTCCATTTGAATAGAGAGATCATTGAGAGGAAGGATATAGAGATAATGTGAGTACTCACTGAAGAGAATCTTACAAATCCTCTTACTAAGGCATTGTCCCAAAAGAATCAGGATCGACATATAGACGCTTATGGGATAAAACACATGGGTAATGGGCTTTAGTGCAAGTGGGAGACTATTAGTCATATGCCCTATAATATAATATTTCATGCAATAAATATTTTATTATTAATAAAAGCCATTTATTTTTCTTTTATATTCTATTAATTGATTCTTGGTAAAAGATAAAGTCCATGAAATAATACTGCTTTGCAAAGTAAGTTATAATATGGTTATAATTATGATTTTTATTTTGCATAAAAGCAACATCTCTAAATATTCCTGGTCAATGTTCTTCTCATTATTGGACGAAGATTAGAGTTGTTGAGACTGTTACATATTATGTTCTTTCCTTAGGGAAGCAGTTGGTCTCATAAGCTGAGAACTATGTGATATCTAGAACTAATATGTTGGTGCTTGTTATTTAAACAAATCCACTGAATTGACCTGCATGAGAATTCCATATGGAGAGTTATTTGTGTCTATGGAATACTAAAGTGATGGTTGTCTATGTGATTCTTTGACTTGAAATTACTAAGCTATCTTGTATGGGGATGACTATATCTTGATTCTTCATTCACATTATTCATTCATGAATAATAAGCAATGATTTATTGAACATAGTAGGAATTGTATAGAGATACTTGTGTAATAAGAGAGGATTCATCACCCTAGGTTAATCAGGAAAAATGTTCTAATTGTTCTCTATTAGTATTGATTAAGAAATCCTTATGCAAGATAGAATAAAATTAGCAAATTAGATTTGGAATTTCATTCAAATGATCAATATCTAAAATTAAGAGAACTAACATGATTTAGTAAAGTGGACACACTCCATGTCCAATTACTAAATCAAAAATATTAATGATGAAGGGATATTAATTACACTGATAAATCATGCACTAAAAAATTAAGTCAAACCACTTTGACTTTTCAAATATTTGGATAGTCATGGCATGTTGCTAGACAATATACTTGACCTTCAAATATTAATTAATTTAATTTATATTTGTTGCCAACATATTCAGAACCTAGAAGGTCACACACATAAGAATGGATAAAATTAAGAGAGACTAGACATGAATTTAAGTTAAAGTGGACCACAACGTCATGTCCAATTCTAAATCAAAAATATCTAATGATGAAGGGATATTATGTACACTGATAAAATCATGCCTACCAGAAAAAAATTAAGTCAAAAACCACTTTTGACTTTTCAAATATTGGTGGAATAGTCATGGCATTTTGCTAGACATATCTTGACCTCAAATAATTAATTAATTTAATTTATATTTGTTGCCCAACATTTGCAGACACCTAGAAGTCACACTGTGGTAGTTGGAGTATCTGTATGGTTAAGGCGGGACTGGTTGGCACATAAGATGGAATATGAAAGAAGTGAAAAACAAGAAATCGAATCTAGTATGATTTGATTACAAAATAAGTTTTTTGTGAAAATTAAAGGACAACATTGTAATTTAGATTTTAATTAACAATTTTTTCCTCGCTAAATTATTAAGTATTGAGACTTAATTGATTTTATGTCTAAATTTTATTTAAGAATTAAATTTAAGATTAAAATAAACCTAGTTGTTTTATTGTATGATTTTATTTATTTAAAAGTTTACAATAATTAATTATAAATTTTAGATTAAATAAACCTAATGTTTTATTTATGATTTATTTATTTAAAAGGTTTAAATAATTAATTATAATTTATTTATTTATGACCTAGGGTTTTTATATAAAAGGTTTAAGATACAGTCTAACTGTGAGTTGTTGTATATAGCCACAAAACTAAACATAGAACGTAAGATAACTAGCACCATCATATACTTTATTCTCTCAACCATCTAAAATAGTTTGAGTTTTTCAATTGTCCATTCATATGGATACTACTAGAGGCTGGATACTTGGACAACTTATTGTTTGCGACAATCTAGTCGCGTAGATCGAAGTTTTAAAGAATCAACAAAAGAGGTATTATTCTAAGGAAATTTTATTACTTTAATCGTTTAAACGGATCTCTGTTGGTATAATTATTTTGTTATAACTATCTCTTTTCCGCTGCATACTATTGATATTGAAGCCCAACACAAACTTCTAAAATTAAATCAATTAAAAACTTATTAGATAGTTAAAAAATATGAAAATTATTGTTTCAAATATTATACTAACCACACGTTAAGTGAATATCTTGCATATAAATTTCAAAAACACAAAAACAATGTTATTTTTAGAATATGTAGGGATACAATATTAGTAAAATTTCGTAATTTCAAGGGTAAAATAAGTCACTTGCAAAGTTTGATTCTTCTCCTTGTATGTGTGAATATGAAATTGAATATGGAAATATGGGTAAAATCACTTTTCGTAACTCCTCAAGTTAGGAGTTTATGGGTCTATGAAGCTTGTGAGAGTGGAAGTCTCTGCCATTGTTTTTGCTACTTGAGCTTCTTTGGAGTTTTTCCATCTTGTGAAAATTGTTACAGGGAGATAACTCAGGCTATTATCGTCTTTTTCTAAATAACTGTAAGGATATTTTCATTTTGCACACATTTTAACCGAAAAATGAGAAAAAAAATAAATGGAAAGACTAAATAATTTAATAAAATTAAATCTCAAAAATTCTTAATTAATATCGATCAAATAAGAGTATAAATTAGATTATTCAAGACTAATTAATTATTTTCCCCCAACGATTGTTTGGTAAGCAAATGTCAATCAAATGATTGAGTCAGTCAGTATATATGATTTTGCTTTTTACTCTCCGTTTCTCGCAAAATGAAGTGCCCCTACTGTTCGGCGTCGCAAGCGCGGTGTGCCACCACAAACACTGGCCGATCAATAACAGAGTGCACATCTTGTGGCCGTGTCGTCGAGGAACGTCAATTTCAACCTTACCACCTTTTCCACATCCGAGCCCAAGACAATCCTCTCTGCCTAGTCACCTCCGATCTCCCTTCGCTCCACAACCAAGCCCGCCATGCTCGCCAAGGAGACGAGGAGGACCCATTCGAACCCACAGGCTTCATCACCGCATTCTCCACTTGGTCTCTCGAGCCAACTCCACTTTCCCTACGTTCATCCCTTTCCTTCTCCGGCCACCTCGCTGAGCTGGAACGCACCCTTGAATTAACCACCTCGTCATCGAATTCGACTTCATCAACGGTGGTTGTTGATAATCTGAGAGCGTATATGCAGATTATTGACGTGGCTTCTATTTTGGGGTTAGATTATGATATTTCGGATCATGCATTTCAGTTATTTAGGGATTGTTGCTCGGCTACTTGTTTGAGAAACCGCAGCGTTGAGGCACTTGCCACCGCTGCTCTTGTTCAGGCCATTAGGGAGGCCCAGGAGCCCAGAACCCTTCAGGTATCATCAAATTTCCAGTTCTTCCAAGTAAAAAATTTCTAATTCTTGTTAATACGAAGACAGTGTCAAGATTTGATCCTTCTCTTTCTACTCTGTTTTACTGTGAAAAGTGTGCTTCTCTGCATAATTTCATTGTTGAGCATTTTGGTTCTGTTCTGAACTGACTAATATTTGCCTCATCAAACTGACTGTTCGTTATATTATATGCATTAAGTTGGCATGCATTTTTGCGTCAATGTTTTGAATTGTTCCGGCTGGAAAGGAACCATACCTTGTCAGTGATTAGGCGGTTGTGTTAGCGATGTCCTGCAATTTGGCCTAAAGAATGAATGGATAATGAGCAATTTGGACTATGGAGATGATGCTAAGCACAGAATATCAGTCAGTTTTTCTGAACTGTGACTAGGTGGAGGTCATGTGCTTATATGAATTTTACAATTTTTTTAAGCTTGCATCTTCACATTCCGTGTTGTTTATGGATCTCATTTGATTTGAGTCTGATTTCATTTTCTTGCTGGAAATCAATGTGAAGCAGGCTGCCTATTGAGTGGATAGCCTTCGAGTAATGATGAATTGTTACAACCCCTAGTCTCGCTAGGTGTCTTGCTGGAAATCAATGTGAAGCAGGCTGCCTATTGAGTGGATAGCCTTCGAGTAATGATGAATTGTTACAACCCCTGAGTGGATAAGCCCTTCGAGTAATGATGACTTCGTTACAAACCCTTTCGAGTAATGATGAATTGTTACAACCCCTCGTCTCGCTAGGTGTTTGGCGAGTGTGTGAGAGAGAGAGAGAGAGAGAGAGAGAGAAAATATACGAGAATTATAGAGATAAACGGAATCTTTAGAGAGAAATTAGTTATTTATTGTATTAATGCTTAAACGGGAAGTATATCTTGTATATTTGTATGGGACAATTAACAAACTACTAATGCTAGTAACTGCCTAACCACTTGGCTTAACTAATTGTTCCACCTCATCATCCAACTCATTGGTACTATGCTTTCCCTCTCTTTAGTGCAGTCATGACATTGCCCTCCCTTTTGAGATGATCCTTGTCCTCAAGTGTCAAACTGAGCAACCAAGATTACTTGAAAGTTGAAACAGTTCCTGCAAATGGCCAAAATTTGTTAGACCTAAATGCATGACTTGTTAGGAATAAATTGCAATTTTATTCAGAATTGATGAGCTTTATTGTAATATGTCATCAATTTTTGGTTGTAATTACAATTGCTGATTTGTTTTGTTTAGCTGAGTCAAATTTCTATTGCCGACATTTTGCTTAGTTGGCAGACATTTTGATCATAAAATGCAATATTATTACTATTATTATTATTATTATTATTATTATTATTATTATGATCAATGACAAAAAATATCTCTCTCGTAATATTCACTCTCTCTTTATTTCTCTACAATCCTTCTTCGTCTTTTCTTCTCATCTCTGATTCTCTTTTCTATCATCAGCAACTGTTAATCCATCTTTGTTAATTCTGATTTGAAATGATGCCCAGTAATTAGAAAGAAGAACCAACTTCTTATCTGTCATTAAGAATACGCATGTGATGCAGGAGCAGTCCTAATCCTAATTGGATTCCTAGCACAACTAGGATTTTATTTAATTTACTGTTTTATTTCAGATTTGCGTTAGTTTTCCGTTTCCTTATTTGATTAGGATTTACTATTTTATCATTGAATAGGAGTAGAGTTTTAATTCTTTCTTTAATTAGGATTCCTAGTCTAGTTTTATCATTGAATAGGAGTAGAGTTTTAATTCTTTCTTTAATTAGGATTCCTAGTCTAGTTAGGATTTATCACTATAAATAGACAGCCCTAGTAGCATAGTAAATCATCTTATTTTTCTCATAATTTTAATTCAAAGGTTATAAACCTAATTACTGATTACTGTTCCATCTACGATCAACCCTATTCTAGCTTACTTGTTGAAAACTGACAGCCCTACACCTTTCCCCTGTGTCAATTGGTATCAGAGCCCAAAAACAGATCCTAGGATTCTTTTTTTGTCTGAATTAAACCATGGTTGGAAGAGGTAGAGGCAGAGGCAATCAGCCCCAACAAGATGAAATAGCTGAGATATGGCGAATGATTAAGGATTTGACCCGAGCTGTACAACCCTCGCAGCGTCAGGAACCCGTGGAAGCCCGAATGGAGACTCCGGAAGGCAACCACCAAAACTTTGATTTTCAAGAAGCTCTTGAGAGTGAAGAGGAAGTCGAGGACGTAAACCCCTTTCATGAAGCTGGACTTGCAAACCCAGCAGCACGAGGCGGATTGGAAGAGCGTTTACTTCATGCTCTTGGTTTAAATAGTGGAGGAGTTAAAATTGAGGTTGCTGATTTTCACGGGAAATCGCATGCCGAAGACTATTTAGATTGGCAAACTAGTTTAGAAAATTATTTTGAATGGAAACCAATGGTTGAAACCCGGAAAGTGCTTTTTGTAAAGCTTAAATTGAAGAGTACTGCACTTCAATGGTGGAAGAGAGTTGAGGAGCAGCGCGCACGGCAAAGAGTGGAAGAGAGTTGAGGAGCAGCGCGCACGGCAAAGAAAGCTTAAAATCAGCACGTGGGAGCACATGAAAACTAAGCTAAGGAAGCAATTTTTACCAGCTGATTACGCAATGTAATTATATGAAAGGTTCCATTGCTTGAAACAAAATAGTATGTCTGTTGAAGAGTACACTGCAGAATTTCATAATTTGTCCATTCAAGTTGGAATATCTAAAAGTAATGAACAAATTACCTCTCGCTGTCTTGCTGGTTTGAATCAGTCCCTTAGAAATGAAATGGGCATAGTCCGATTACACAATCTTGAAGATACTTGCCAATATGCCTTAGCAGCTGAAAAGCGAGTTTCTCGTTACGGTGCTAGAAGGCCCATAAACAGAAGCAATTGGCAAAACAATTTCGGAGTTGCAAGAGGGATTCACACAACTCAACGAAGCGAGAAAGAGGCTGCCGCTACTGATAAATACAATGAAGAGACAACCAGTGTTGATGGGAACGATAAAGGGAAAGGTATAGTACCTTATGGTGGACAAAACAATTCTGGTTCGTCTATAAGGAGAGGCAACAATTCTCAAGTTCCTCAAGTTCATTGTTCTTACTTGTTGGAGAAAAGGACATACTTCATTCATTCTTGTCCACAAAAGGAAAGGTGAATTTAGCCCGAGTATGATTGAAGGACCAAGCCCTATTTTTGATGAATGTATGATATGAATATGATGAGGAAGTAGAAGAAATTGATGTTCACCCAGCTCAAGGTGAGTCTTTAGTTGTTCGAACAGTCATGACAGCCATGAACAAAGAAGGAAAACGAGACTGGAGGAAGTGTAGCATTTTCCATACACGTGTTATTTGTGAAGGCAAAGTGTGTAATTTAGTCATTGATGAAGTATGGAAAATATAATATCAAAGGAGGCTGTAGATAAACTAAAGCTTCCTACAACAAAACATCCTCATCAATACAAAGTAGGTTGGTTGAAGAAACGGCACGAGATACCAGTAACATCTCAATGCTTAGTGCAATTCACAATGGGAGATGATTTAGCAGATGAAGCACCATGTGATGTAGTACCAATGGATGTTGAGCATATTCTAGTGGGACGACCTTAGTTGTATGATCATGATATGGACCACAAGACAAGGCCTAATACTTATTCGTTCTACAAGGACAACAAGAAGTACACTTTGCATCCTCTCAAAGAAGAAACAAGGCAAATACCAAATAAAGGAGCTGCAACTAGTAAATTAAATGGGCTTGTAAGTGTTAAAGAATTTGCAGCTGCGCATAGTGAGGTGGGAGTCACGTATGCCTTAGTTGCCTTAGTGAGCAAACTGATAGGAGCTGACCAGGTTGAAAAATCAGTTGAATATTCCTTTGAAATTCAACGATTATTGCAAGAATTCAAGGAGTTAATTAGTGAAGATGTATCGAAAAGCTTGCCACCATTAAGAAGCATCCAACATGCTATTGATTTGGTACCAGGTGCAGCTTTACCAAATCTGCCTGCATATCGAATGCCTCCTTTACAACGGGCTGAAATAGAAAGACAGGTTAGGAATTATTGGAAAAAGGTCTGATGCGTGAAAGAAAAAGTCCATGTGCCAGCCTAGCCTTATTAACTCCAAAGAAAGACGGTTCTTGGAGAATGTGTGTGGATAGGCGTGCTATAAATAAGATTACAATCAAATATCACTTTCCAATACCAAGATTGGAGGATATGCTTGATCAACTGGCGGGTTCTAAAGTGTTTTCCAAAATTGACTTTAAAAGTGGACATCACCAAATTAGAATGAGGCATGGTGATGATGAGGCATTGGTGATGAATGGAAACAGCTTTTAAGACACCGGATGGGTTATTTTGAATGGGTTAGTAATTGCCATTTGCCTTTCAATGCACCAAGCACATTCAATGAAGTCATGACAGATTGTAACTCAACCTTCTTGAATTTCTCCGTTGTGGTATATTTTCCCATGACATTTTGATTATTAGCCGCATCGAGGAAGCATCATTAAAACACTTGCGGGACAAGTGTTAGAAGTACTTCGTCAAGACATGTGCACATAAACCTGAAAAAATGCAGTTTCCTGCAACCAGAAGTGGTATTCCTAGGATACATTGGTCTGCTAAGGATTAAACCAGATCAAGAAACGGTTCGTGCAATTACCGAATGCCAGCACCGCAATCCATAACAAAGAAGTTAGAAGCTTTCATGGTTTGGCTCTTTCTGTAGAGATTTATCCACAAATTTCTATTCAATTATTGAGTTCCTATAATTGAATCTATGAAAGAAGAAAAGTTTGAGTGGACAAATTCTGCACCAAAAGGCATTTGAAAGAATCAAGTTTTGATGACTAGAGCACCTGTTCTTGCACTTTTCCAGATTTTGAGAAATTATTTATGTCGAATGTACGCTTCACATGAAGGGGATTGGAGCTGTCTTTAGCCAAGAGGGCAGACCTCGAGTTTTTTTACGTGAGAAGCTTGTCTGAAAGCTAAGAAGTGTTACTCAACTTATGATTTAGAGTTCTAGCCTGGTACGAGGCTATTCAGCTATTCGACATTGGCAACATTACTTAGCTTATTGTGAGTTTGTGGTTTTTTCTGATCATCAGGCCTTGAGAAGATCCCTAATTTTGTCAATTTTGAGCACCCAAATTACTGGTTTTGAAGAACTGAAAAACCAGTATGATTCAGATTCATGTTTTGGCAAAATAAAGGCTGATTTGCTGCATTCTTCAGAAGCTGAAAGTCTGACATACCGATTGCAAGATGGTTATTTATTCAAAGGGAATAAGTTATGCATTCTTGAAGGATCTTTAAGGTTTACTCATCGGAGCCGATTCTTTTTCAAACCCAGGGAGAATGATGCAGGAGCAATCCTAGTCCTAATTGGATTCCTAGCACAACTAGGATTTTATTTAATTTACTGTTTTATTTCAGATTTGCATTAGTTTTCTGTTTTATTTCAGATTTGCATTAGTTTTCCGTTTCCTTATTTGATTAGGATTTACTATTTTATCATTGAATAGGAGTAGAGTTTTAATTCTTTCTTTAAGTAGGATTCCTAGTCTAGTTAGGATTTATCACTATAAATACAGCACAGTAGTATTGTAAATCATCTTATTTTTCTCATAATTTTAATTCAAAGGTTATAAACTTAATTACTGATTACTGTTCCACCTATGATCAATCCTATTCTAGCTTACGTGTTGAAAACTGACAGCCCTACACCTTTCCCCTGCGTCAGCATGGATCTCTTATTTTAATTCCATTTACGATGGATGCTTGTTCCCCATATGTAGACATCATAGCAACCAAAGTGCCAAAAATCATTTTCCTTTGCTCTGGATTAACATTCCAATATTTCCCATTAAGATTGGAAGAACCCAGCTTCAAGAGCTTATTAGATTATTAAAGCTTCCAATAATTTCTGATTTCATATTTCCATTTTTACATACAACTTGAAGGCGTGAACTTTCGTTAGACAATGATTTTGATCTCTTCTTTTGTCTTCTGCAAATCTCAAACTCTGTTTCTTTGAGCAAGTAACACAAATTGATATCAATGCGTAACACAAATTGATATCAATGCAACTTGAAGGCGTGAACTTTCGTTAGACAATGATTTTGATCTCTTCTTTTGTCTTCTACAAATCTCGAACTCTGTTTCTTTGAGCAAGTAACACAAATTGATATCAATGCCCAGATCAGAGCAGCATAACTTTTAAGAACAGAATTCTCATTAATGTAGAAAAAAATTCAGCAGCTTGAATGGCCACTCATTCTAAACTTCATATTGGCAGTTTTACAGTTAGCTTGAAAGCAGGCAGCTCATATAGACAAAAAATACAATTTCTTTCGCTGACTTCAGCCTTTTCCTCACCTCCATCTATCTTCTTTGAATATTCCGAAGTCAGTTGCTTTCACCTCAAATTTATGACTACCATAATTTTGAAACATTATCCTAGCATTTACCTCTCCTTCATGGTTTCATAAGTCTTCATCACCAAATTATCAAAAAAAAAATTTGCAACAATAAGAAACACAACCAATTTCAGGCTATTTTCAAAATCTAACAGTTTTGGGATGAACAAATACCATTGCTGGCGTAAAATGATGGTCATCACCAAAATGCTCAAGAGGTTTGAAACTATGTCCAAGATCTTGTTGATTTGCACTACAAACCATATCAGTCCTCTTGATGTTGTCACTTTCAACTGCTGGATCAATGTTCCCAAGGCTGGAAACTCACATTGTAGTGAAATCAGTATCGGGTCTTGATCTTTGTCTCCAAAATTGAAATAATCATGATTCTTCAACATTGATGTGTTGCCCTTTTTATCTTCTTCCAAAATGGCCGGAGCTGGTTCTTGGTCAGTACTCATAGCATATTCAATTCTCAAATTGATTTCTCTGGGACTGGAATTTTCTTGTTGCAATAGATATTCCTTTTGACATTTATCAATTTTCTTGAAAGCAATTTCAATCTATGTGTTCATTCATTGGCATGATCCAACAATTCTAGAATTCAACCAAATCTCTCTATCAATTTGATACAATTTTTATTCAATTTTCCAAAAATCTTCATTTTTGAATGGGTATTTTGTTGTAGATGGGATACAGAGAAATAGAGAAGATAGAAAGAAATTTAGGGCAAAGAAGATCAGATTTAAAAGGAGTGAAGAATAAAAGAAGATAAAAGGAGAAGAGAAAGAGAATCAGAGAGTGAAAGAGAGAAAAAAAAAAAAAAAATAGCAGAAACAATCCCTAGGATCAAAACTGATCTGATACCAAATGTTACAACCTGTTGCCTAGCTAGGTGTTTGGCAAGTGAGAAAGAAAGAGAAAGAGAGGGAAAATAGATGAGAATTAGAGAAAGAGAACAACAGAACCTTTAGAGAGAAATTATTTGTTTATTGTTTTAATGCTTAAATGGAGAATATATTTTGACTGAAGCTTCCATTTGAAACTCATAGTGAGCAGAGAAGGAACAACAGGTTATGAAATGGTCAGAAAAAAGAGTGGATCAGGCTGACACTTAACAAACTACTAACACTAGTAAATATCTAACCACTTGGCTTAACTAATTGTTTCAGCTCATTGTCCAACTCTTTAATCCCATGCTTTTCTTCTCATTGGTGCGGCCATAGCTTGAATCTTATTCAATTGTTACATAAACTTGTTTGTGATTTTTAGTCATCCCTGCTTCTCTACTTGTTTGTTCCAATATATTTTCAATTTGCACTAGCTCTTCTGTGGATCAATCTCAAACAAGTTTTTCGTGAGCATAAATGATGTCTGTTTATTCGTTTAATAGAGAGGCAAGTCTTCCATGTATATAGATATATATATATATATATATCATAAATGATGTCTGTTTATTCGTTTAATAGAGAGGCAAGTCTTCCATGTATATAGATATATATATATATATATATATATATAGGTTATTATTGTTATTATTATTTTTTTAAAATTTACTTTCTTTGAGATTTTAGAAGGCCATTCTTTACTGGCAGTGTTAGGTGGTATTTGGTTTGAGAAGTGGGAGGAAATGAAAGGAAAAGGAAACGAAAGAAGAGAAAAGAGATTAGGCATATGTAGTGTTATTATTTTAGCAATTGCTTAACTTTGTCGTTACAGTCATGAATCCTAAAATTGATAAGAAATTACGTTTCATAGTTGACAGAAACTAGTTTCAGCTTAAACTACATTTTGCTTCTTAATACTGCATAATTCGTCTCATTAGGATTAGATGCTCTGCTTGCTCATATAAGAATATAATTATATTTAAGCAGTCATGGTGGTCTTGAAAAAAAATTCAGTTTTGAGTTTCGTCTAATTTAACTAGTAATGATGTAACAGGAAATCTCAATTGCTGCCAATGTTCCTCAGAAGGAGATTGGGAAGTACATCAAGATATTAGGAGAAGCTCTACAACTTAGTCAGCCAATTAATAGCAATTCCATTTCAGTCCATATGCCTAGATTCTGCACACTCCTCCAATTGAACAAATCTGCTCAGGTACTTTGTTGCAGGACTTCACTTGTCAAGTTTGAAAACGTTGGGTTTTTAGCTAAAATTTTAATTGTGTTTGAAGAAGTGAAAGTGTTCCGGAGGATGATAACATTAAAATCCTACCTTCACTGGGAAAGAAGAAGAAAATTAAAGGAAAATATAAATTTGCACAAATTTCACAAATTTGCAGATGCAAGTTGAGGTGTTAATGTTGATAAAACCTTCATACAAGTAACAACTGTACTACGTGATTCACGTAGCTATTTGAATTATGGAGTCCTTAATAGTCATTTTGATGATGGTAATCTTGCTTTTTAATGACTATAAATGGATTGTGCAGGATATTTGTTTTATCCATAGGAAGAGATTCTTTCTGAATACTTGCACTGAGCTAAAAACATTAATCATAAAATCAATGTCAGGATTTGAAAAAAAAAAAAAAAAAAAAAAAAAAAAAAAAAAAAAAAAAAAAAAAAGGAAGAAACATAAAAACTGTTATAGTATGGATTGGACTTCTTTTTCAAACTGCCTGGCTTTTCATTTGATTCATACTTGGTCAGTTTGCTTTGGGACTAAAAAAAAAAAAAAAAAAAAAAAAAAAAAAAAGGAAGAAAACATAACTGTTATAGTATGATTTTGGACTTCTTTTCAACTGCCTTGGCTTTTCATTTGATCATATTTGGTCAGTTGCTTTTGACTAATTGTGCTAGGAATTGGCAACTCACATTGGAGAAGTTGTTATCAACAAATGCTTCTGCACTCGGAGGAATCCCATTAGCATCTCTGCAGCTGCTATATATCTAGCATGCCAATTAGAAGACAAGCGGAAGACACAGGCAGAGATTTGTAAGGTGACAGGGCTCACTGAAGTCACCCTCAGAAAAGTCTACAAGGAACTGTTGGAGAATTGGGATGATCTACTCCCATCCAATTATACACCTGCTGTTCCTCCTGAGAAAGCGTTTCCTACTACAACAATTTCCTCAGGTCGTTCATCTGCACCTAAAATTGACCCAGTTGAACTAACACCATCCTCTTCCGACAAAGATAAACAACCAGAAAATAAACCAAATAAAGCAAATGATGTGTTGCTGAGGACTAAAGAAGATGCTGCGAGTAATGGTAATTCTCGTGGTCCCCATGCCCCTCCATGGCAGAATTTTAGGCAGCCCTGGCTTCAATTTGGAACTTCTGGAGTTAGGATACCAGGAGAGAAAAATCAGAATGCAACTCGAGGCGATATCAATGAGTTGCAGTCTAACTGTCATGAGTTGGAAGATAAGGTAGAGAAGCAGAAAATGGATAAAGACTCCACAGTTGTGGGCAGGCCAAATCAATTTTCAAGCCCCCCAGTTTCGGGTGTGAGTACAATCACCTGGCCATTTCGGTCCACACCTTCATCAGGGCCTTCTCCAATTGTGCAGCCACCACCCAAATTAGCACCAGGTTATGCTGAGCTTAAAGGTATTGGCAGTCAAAATGGTGGTAAAAATGCTAACACGAATGGAGATAACAAGTAGCAGGTATGGATAGGTCATGCTTTAGTGCTGTATATTGTGGAACACTAAATATTTGCGTGGCTTTCTCCAATTAAGTTGTTGAAATTTTTAATTTTTCGGCTTAGTAAGTGTGTATATTGCTCTGTGGACCTGAGTTGGAACAGAAATTTGAGTTTCTTTCAACCCCCCAACCCCAAAAAAAGAAAAAATTGAAGAAAGAAGGAGAGGATTTTGTGGTCTAAACAACAATAACAACGGCACGCGCTCTCTTTTAAATCTCAAACTAGTTGCAGTAGTTCTTAATAAAAAGTTAGCATATCTAGATCTTAAAAGTAGACAAGACTGAGAAAGGGAGAATATTTTAAAAAATATTGCTGAGAACTCTTGAAGTCTCTATTAGTTTAATACTACTTGATAACCCTGCATTGTTTGGGGCATAACTGAATTGCTTATGAAACTTCCAAAAATATATATCTTACTATAAATTAACTGTAGTTTATATGTTTCAGTTTTAAGTCCGAAGTGTATAATTCAATTGAGTGAATCACTCTATAGTCTTTTGGTTAGACTCAAATACACTAGTCAATATTCTTATTTTTTAGAATTTAGACGCTTAAATTTTGTTCCGAGAATGGATCAGTATTTAGTAAGAATCAGGTCTTGGACATTTGATTAAACCCGATTTTTGATCCGATAACCCATATTGAGGATGAAATTATTGGGTTCTTTTTGTGTTACTATGTTTTTGGGGTCCCACATCGAGACAGTGTCCAAGACGCGACACAAGTCCATTCATTTCGTCTCCTGGCATGTCATCTTGTTTTGCGTGCCATTGGACTGGATTTTCATAAAATGAGTCCCCCTAACCCATAGGGCCCATTAGTGGCTTTTGCCCCCTAAGGATTAGGGTTTGCACCTCACTTTCTCCCATAAAAATATCTTAGGGATTTTGGGATTTGGATCATTGAAAACTCATTTTACAATACAAAACCTTTGTTTTGATATTGAAAACTTGATTTTCATTGAGAAAACTTAATATATTGAAAACTTGATTTTCATTGAGAAAACTATTGAGTTTGTGATAAGAACCAAATTAATCACAGAGAAAACGAAATTGATCGTTGATTATTAATTCATAAGTTTTTAAACTCGAATTGGATCAAGCTTTTTGGATTTTGAAGGTGTTTTTGAACCTTTAAGTTTGAGAAGTGTTCTTTTGCTTTAAAAGGGTAAAATTTGAGAGTTTATGCTATATTTGGGAAGTGGGAGAAAGTAAAATAAGGATTAAAGTAAAAATTTAAAGTTTTACTTCTCCGTCCCAAAAAAAATAGTTCACTTTCTATTTGCACAGATTAAGAAAAGTAGCAATTATTATGGTTAAAGGACAATTTTATTTATATAATTTTTATATTACATCCATTTTAAATAACACATGAACAATTATTATATTAGAATAATAAGTAGAATTAATGAGGGTTATTGAAAATAAGATAAAATTTAATAAAGGTCTAATAGATAATTTAAGGATTAATTGTAATGGAAAAAAGGAAAGTGGACTATATTTGGAACAAACCAAAAAGGAAAGATGGACTATCTTTTTGGGACAGACGACGTATTATTTATTTTCTCCTCAAAATGGAGAGAAAATAGGTAAAAAGGTTGCAAAATAAATTTATTTTACATTCTTTTTAATATCTTCATCCAAACTAAACAAGGAATTTTGAGAATCCTAAAGCATTTTCACCTCCATTTTACATCCTTTTTATTTTTTACCAAACAACCCATTAAACTAGTTTTTAATACAATTTTCTTCTTCTTTATGGGTCAAAAACCACTTCTTAAAAGTCTAGACGTGAGGAAACCTAGGATCGTCCTAGGTTGTTTGGCAGCTGAGAAACGCCTCACCCAGCTACTTAGAGGTGTGCGGTTGTGCCTAATGGCGTACGCCGCTTCTAGGGCCGCACACAGTTTCCTCTCAACTAAACAACTTTGAAGTTCTTCATAATCTGTTTTGTACTTTTGGTCTGTGAAACCAGACACATCCCGAGAAATGACGCACGTCATTACATGGGGCGCACGTGATTTCTATCCAGAAGCACGTTTCATTTGATTCTGACATCAAGTTTTAAGGTCTAAATAATGTTTCAGAGCTAATGGAACCATTTAAATCAATAAAAAAGATGGATTTTAATTGTGATAGTCATATTTGTTCTATCTTTCAAAAAAAGAACATCAAATGCTTGAACTATAATCCATGATTGTTTAAAATTTAGATTACTATATGCCTGTGATATTTTGATTTGTTATTAAATTAAATTGCTTTCATTACAGTAAATTACCTATGTTGTGTGTTTATAACTTTTTTTATGCTTTTATTATTGATGTTTTATGCTTTCATTATATTGATTGCCTTTGTCATGATTATTGACTTTGTGCCGCTTGATAATTTGATTGTTGCTTTGATTCTTTATTTACATATGTAATTATTGATTGTGATGTTCTATTATTTTGATTATATGTTTCGTATTTTATGCTTATTATATATTTATGGTTATTACTTGGTTTCTATGAGTTCATTAATAAACTCATTATTCATGAATCCAACTTATAATTATTGGGAATATGGGGAAATGATTATATGGTTCTTATTTTATGCTTATCATATATTATGGTTATATGGTTCTTATCGATTGTTTGCTTATTATATTATGGTTCTTACTGTGATTATTGATTGCTTCCTTATTATATATATTTTTATTATATATTTCTTATTTTATGCTTATTATATATTATAGTTATTGCGTGATTAGGTAGAATGTAACTAAGACCCAACGGATTTGTAATTCTTTTCTCCTCCCTTTTTCTTTGGATGGATTTTGGTCTATCATGTGAGTGAATAATGATGTTTTATTGTTGACGCGTATTTTTATGCCCCCACCTAACCCAATAAGGATACGAGGACACAGAATGAGGAATCATGGTTATCCGGAAGTCTTTAAACCAAGGATCGATTTAAACCAATTCAAGGAAGTCTGATTTATAGTAGAGTTGCGTCACGCAGCTATAAAACCAAGGATCGATTTAAACCAATTCAAGGAAGTCTGATTTATAGTAGAGTTGCGTCACGCAGCTATAAGGTGCGTGACGCAGCTATCCTCTGTTGACCTACCCATATAAATACTGCGTTTTTTATCTTATTCGGGGAGGAATTTTTGAGAGCGTAAAAAAGGCAACTGCGGCTAAGTTTTCTGCAAAAACTCTTTTGAGTTATCTTGAAGAAAAACAGCTTTTAGAAATCAATTAAGTTGAAACGAAAATCATACAAAAAAAGAAAAAAGAGAGAAAACAAAAAGAGAAAGAATTATTTGTTAAAACTTGGTGAACAAAGACTTCTGGGGCCTTGAAATCTCGTTCCTTAAGACGTTCAGATTGTTTGCAATCCTCAATCTGAGGGTTAGATAAATATCTAAAGCTTTTCTTGGTATTTTTAGTTATTAATTCATTATTATTTATTTTGTTGGTGTTTTAGTAATGTGATACTAATTAAACGATACCCTGCCCATTATTGGATGTTTCTAAGTTATATTAAAACAAGTTTTGATAAAAGGAAAACGTAAAAAAAAGGTTGTTTGAAAGGTAGTTACGGACCAGAGGAAAAGGTTGTTTGAAAGGTAGTTACGGACCAGAGCAGTTGCGTCACGCAGCTACTAGGTGCGTGACGGAACTGTTCATGTCCAAAATATAGCTATATTGCCCCGACTAATTGCGTGACGGAACTGTTCGTGTTTATGATTTTATTTCACTTTTATTTTCTTGTTTAAATCTTGTATTTGAAATAAACGATTAATGAATCTGAAGGTTTTTCCAAGTTACGAACAGCTGCGTCATGCAACTGTTGGATCCGTCACGCAACTGTTCTTCCATAGAACAGCTGCATGACGCGACTGTTCTAGGGGTCTAGAAGTAATTTTATCCTTTTTAAAATAATAATTTTGTACAATCAAATAAATATTCAATTCTTTTTATAATTCAAGAAACGATCAATTGTGGGCAGATTGTGGTTTAATCAAGTCAAGTACATTAATTTATTGTTATGCATGATTTTCGGGTTTTTAGGGTTTTTTGGATTTAAATTGGGTAGAATGTATTTTAGGTTCGGTTTGTGGCCCGCCTTTAACCATAAGGCAAGAGCGGGTCTTTTGATTACTCTAACTTGACTGCTGTGGGTTGAATGGTTGGTGTGGCTAGAATGATTATGAATGCAATGAGTGAATTTATTTGGGACGATTAAATAATTTTTTATTTGGGATGATTAAATAATTTTCCACATAGGAACTCAGTTCGATTTATTCGGATTGGGTTTGTATAAATAAATTGGCTTTTCTAAACTAAAATAAATTAGAAATTGTAGGTTAAAAGAGGCCGGTTTTCCGAGCGTCGGCTTCCAACAGGCCGACATACGCAATTTCCTTATCTAGAATAGCACTTGGTGCGCCTAACCAGTTTTCTAAATTGGCCTTAAATAAAATTAGGTTTTAAATGAAGTCACTTTTAAAATTGGAAACGATCCCATTGCCGAAAAAATGGGGTGGCGACTCAAATGTTTTATAAGATCGATCTATCGGCATCGTATCCTAAAATGTTTTGTCACCAATTGTTAAAAAACAAAGATCTTTTTCCAAATCAAAAACAAGAATCGGGCGGTTTTTCGGGTCGCTCGGGGGCAGTGCGAAAACACCATGTAATCACAAGAAGTGTCGAAATAGAGCCTTCTTAGACATCGATACAATGAAACTTCATTTGTGCAAAAATGGGTTCATGGAAAATTATTACGAATAAAATGATTTTTGCATCTCAATAATTCAATCTTAATACTTTAAAATGAATACATGGACAAACAATGGAGGATTTCCAGTGTCTAACACATTCCAAGGTTGCATCCAACTTCTTTATCTAAACTCTGGTATATGAGTCAAGTTCTTTTCACGTGGGATGCAATTCGTTGTGTTAAGGCATGTATGCTGTCTATAAAGAGGGTGGCGACTTATTTAATCTTACCAAAATAATATATCATTTTTTAAAAAGAAAAGGGCTCGATTGTTTTAAAAATATCGCCTTTGTAAATGAAGAGTTTTTTGAAATAAAATAAAATAATAAATAAATGTTGAGATACCCGTAATAAATATATATCTCAATAGTTCTTTGATTTTATTTCGGTTACACTACTTGATATATTTGATTATGATGAGGGATTAAATGATGATTTCTTTTTGAGGCTTTTACATCTCACTTAATTAGTATGTGCATCAAATAGGGATGATAATGATATTTCACTGGTAATTAATGAAAAAAATAAATAGAATGATCAAGTAATGTGGGAAAGACGAGAAACTAATTAAATTGTTAAACCAAGAGTTTGATTAGGAGAGTGAAATATTAGGATGGACGAAAAATGTATAGTTAATTTTTAAGTCTAATGCATAATTTTTACCTCTGAAGTTTAGACTTTTATTTTATCCTCAAGTTTTTAAGAGACCATTCTGCCCTAAAGTTGGTCGAACATTTTCAAGTGGAAAGGAGCAGATATAACTTGGTAGTCATCAAGGATCAAATACATAGAATGATCTAAAAACCACATTGCATCAAATTATCAAAGAAATTTGCAGAACTTCCAAAAATTAACTAGAAAAATAATAGTTCAGTTTTAAAAGCCCTAAAATTTGCCCCAAAATCAATTTCCCTCCAACGACACTTTATAAGAACCAAACAATATTTAAAAATCTATAATTATAGATTATAAATTTTCAGCCTCACTCTCACAATCACTGATTCCCTTCAACCAATGTTATTTCTGGTGCCTGAACTTATGAGTTTTTTCTATTTTATTGTCTGAATGGAAAATGTTGTCAATCAAGTGTTTAGACTTTTAATTTTTTTTTAATTTGGTGTTTTATGATGATGCGGACAACTGAAAATTTTATTAAGACTATATGAAATCCACTTTTGCATTGACAGAAGCTTATTTAATCTGACATTTAATCCATCATCATGCCAATGTGGCAAATGCTTTAACCCTTACCTATCATTAATTTAGTCTACCCTCCCCAACTTCATCTCCATCTCCACTTCCACCTCCACGTTCAGTTGCACCACCACCACCACTGTCACCATCTCCAACAGTTATGTATTCATTTTCTTGCACAATCAAGGTTTCATAAGTTTTATCTCAGAATATGACATCACCACTGGAATCTTGAGCATCAAGCACCATTGCCCAAGTAGGGACAATCATGACTCATCAATCACCCAGTACAGTTAAGACAACAAATAATTTCAAGAGAGTCAAGAGAATATGAAAAGTGACAATGCATCACCTTTGATTCTGATATCTCCGCCGACACCTTTGATTCTGATATTGCCGATGCTACCATTTAAAATGCTATCACAGAAGTTTATAAGGAACGGTGACTATGTTAGAGTGGCAAGTTTTAATAGTTCGCGTAGTGGGTCATCAGATTTGGTCGATGAAAATCTATTAGATAGAGAATCAAGTCTAATGGCAAGGCAAGTTGGCAGTGGTTCAACAATACGTTATTTTTGGCTAAGTCCTGATGTGAATACAAAATACTCTCTTCGTCTCATTTTGTTTGCATGGTTTGACAAAACATGTGTAATTAAGAATTTAGTCAACAAAAGTCATTTTGCGCTTCTTTACCCTAAATAACTCATTAAGATACTAAAATTGACAAAACATGTGTAATTAAGAATTTAGTCAACAAAAGTCATTTTGCGCTTCTTTACCCTAAATAACTCATTAAGATACTAAAAGCCTTTCATTTAATGAACAATTATAAAAATTATTATGGAAAAAATAATTATTTATATATTTAAATTTAGAAACCTTGCAAATATTTTCGGACATTTAAAAAATAAATAGCAAGCAAACAAAAAGGAACAGAGAGAGTAGAAGGTAATAAAAAATCATATCAAATAATTTTGTGAAGATTCATTTTGCAATGGAAATGCCAAATCTTAGCCCAAGTGTTGACATTGTTAAAAAAGAAGGCCCAAGATAGATTTTCTTCTTTTTTTTTTTTTTTTTTTTTTTTTTTTTAATTTTAATGCTTTATATATGTAATTTATTTATTGATATTTTGAGTGAGAATCCTCTTTTGATTTGTCTGAGTCGACAATGATACAGTAACATGGATGAAGATTCAAGTTACTAGTTTTTTTTTTTTTTTTTTTTTAATTTTAATGTTTATATATTTATTTATTTATTGATTTTTGAGTGAGAATCTCTTGATTTGTCTGAGTCGACATGATACAGTACATGATGAAATTCAATTATAGATATATTGGGCGGTTGCACATGATTCAGTTATATAATAATTATATTTTTTATTTCAATATAAGATATATATGTTGAGTAAATTATAGAAATTCATTTTTTAGAGAAAAAGTAAATTCATTTTTTAGAGAAAAGTGACTGAAATTATTATTAGATATAAAGTGTTGTAGGTATTTAAAATAATATAAATACTTAATTTTTATGTTTGTAGAGATTTATCTAATTGAAAGTATATAATTAAAAAACCTACTAAAACATAATAGTTAATTCATCATTGCATAAAACATATTTCAAACAGAATCTTGAAATTTTTGTTTATATATGATGATATATAAATATTCGAATTTTCAATCAGCAAAAAAAAAAAAAAAATTAAAAGATGAAACCACTAATTTCACACCAACCAAATTCTCTGAATTTTAAATCAAAATAAGAAAAAGCACATAGGTAACTTTTTTCATGAAAAAATCTATAGCCTTTTTCATGATAAATTCGATATAGTCATACCAACAATAAATTGAATTTAAAGATATCAAATATTATCGACTTGAAAATATTCAACTTATGATAAGAAGAAAAACTAAATTTGTATCTTCATAATTTACCAAAAAATTTAAAAATCATAATCAAACAAATCAAAAGAGAGAGAGAAAAAAAAAAAGAAGAATACTACTCATCATTTTATCTTATTGTTTTTAAATTGTATGAGAATATTCTCGAACGTTGATAGGTTACTTATCATAAGAAGAAAAATAAAAATTTTACCTAATAATTTACTCAAAAATTTAAAATCATTACCAAACAAATAAAAAATAATGTGTATTTTTGAAACACACGACTTTTTTTAATATTTTTCAAATTATTAAAAATTTAAACATACTATATTTGGTTTGAAGTTTAGACTATATAAAAATAAAAATTTTTATATTTGTAAATTATGAAAATTTAAAGATTTAGACATTGTATTGTTTTTCTATCACATATTTGATTTCTACAAAAAAACAAATAGTATATTTGATTTGAATTCAAAAACTAATATAAGTCTTTATACATATAAGTAAATTATGAAAATCTAAAAAATATAATTGAAATATTTAAATTTTTTATATTGCCATAATTAAATGAATTTAAAATTTATAAAAATGAAAAGATAATTAGTTGTTGAAAAGTAAATGATGGGAGAGAAAAGTGGATAAAAAAAAGAGAAATGCTTACACTACAAGAAAAACGCGTTTTTGTCCGATTTTTGCAACCGACGCAAATCGGTTGCAATTTTATGATGATATTGCAATCAATTGCGATGAATGGGAGATTAAATATACACTGACGGATTTATGATCAAAAGGCGACAAATTTTGCGATGGATTAGCGATCGACTTAATATCCGTCGCTAATTCTAGTGCTAATAATTTCCGCCAGTTTGGTTTTGATTTTGCGACCGTATTGAGACCACTTTGCGATCGATTTTGAGATGGATTTGCCACCGTTTAAAATCTTGTTGCAAAATTGCGCGCTGCAGGTAGGTGCCAAATTTAACTTTTATTTTGTGACCAATTTGTGACCAATATATTTGCGACCGATGAAGTTGGACGCAATTCAGTCGCAATTTTCTCTGATAAAATGGCATCGCATGAATAAAACTTGCGATCAATTTTTTAATAGATTGTTGGTTGCAAAAAAATAGGACTTTATACACCCTTGGTCACCTTGCGCGAGCGCAACACCTCCTTCTTTCCCCTTCTACTCTTTGTCGCAGCCGTTCCTAGCCCAGTCGCCTCCTTCTCCGCTCTGTTGAAGCGCCGGTGGCTGGAGAAGCCGTTGTCGACGGAGATTGTTCCTCCTCCTTCGTTCACATTCGCCTAGTCAGGTACGCGTCCTTCTGTCCTTTTTTTTTTTTTTGTGTATTTCGTGTTGAATGTTAATGCAATGTCGTTTTTTGTGTATTTCGTTTTTATTTTTTGAATGTGAATGTGAATTTTTTCTTTTTTTTCATTTTTCTTGTGGGATTTGCTGTTCAATATATGTTCAATGTATCCGTGATATTATTATGTTTTCTTTTCTGGAGTTCTTAGCTTACAAAGAAAACATCTTGTTTTTATTATGTTTTCTGTTCAGTTTGGTAGACAAATAGCTTGTTTTTATGCCTGCATTCAATTTTTTCAGTTTCTAATAGGACTGCCTCTGTGTATTATTTGAAATGCTAGTTTTTTTATTTTCTGGCTGCCTTGATAACACTATTTAGATTCATCGCAGAAACTAGCTTGCATTTGATTATTAATATTCAATCATTAAGGAAAGCTGGGATTTTAAAAAATATAAATATAAAATTCATAATATAATTCATTGAATTTTTTCAATCACAAATACATTATCCTAAGAGAAAGGGGAATTATAGAAAGCTAAATAGTAATCTACTTGATTGAAATTATAGGCATTTTGTTATTTATTTATTTAATTTAGCGACCGATTTTTTACAGTTTGCGACTAATTTTTCGGTCGCAAATGAGCAAATTTTTTGTAGTGTTAAACATTCACAAAAAAGATAAATCACAATACTCAAATATTATTAATTTCACTTTCTTAAGAAAGTGTTATATCAACATATAGAAAAAAATAACGTTTCTCCTTTATATATATAAAATAAGAATAATGATAAGAATATTAAGAGCTTTCAAAAAAAATCAAGTTTTTTTTTTTCTTTTCATAATAGTTTTATTAAGGGTTGCAAGTACTAAATAAGGTTAGGATGGTCATTTCCAATCATTTGCCATGTTGGCATCACGATGTGGATTAAATATCAGATCAAATGAGCTTCCAGCAAGGCAAAAGTGGATTCTGCATAATCTTGATGTAATTTTTAATTGTCTGCGTCATCAGGAGATACCAAATTGAAAAAAATTAAAAGCTCAGACACTCAATTGATAACATTTTCCGTTCAGATACCAAAATAGAAAAAAAATCACAAGATTAGACACATAAATTAACATTATCGCATAATTAAAAATAAAAATAAGATTCAAATAAGAGCCAATAAAAATCTATCATCTTCAAGTTTTAAATACTTCTTCTCTTCAAATATTTAAAAAAATGAAGAATACTGGGAATTACTAAGAGAAACAAAAGTTTACCTCGAATTTTCATCAAGTATCATACAAATAGAGAGAGAAATTACGGATTTGATTTGTATGTGAGAATTTATCCAAAACAACCAACAAAAATTTGATTTTAAAAGAAGCAAAAGTTGATTAGAATAAATAGAAAAATTAAGAGTTTTTACCTTGAATTTCACCCAAGCATCTAATGCATAAAGGAGATTAAGGATTTGATTTATATATGAGAGAGATTTATCCAAAACAAACAAGAGGAATTTGAGGATTTGATTTATACATGAGAGAGATTTATTCAAAACAAATAAGAGAAATTTGATTTTTGAGATTATTGAATCTACTTTGTGATTTTTGGGACTTGGACTATAGTTTTCAGATTGAGCTTAGATTAAATCATTTAATTGTGTATTTATTTAATTATAGCTCAAATTCATTTATTTTATTTTATATTATTAGTTAGTTAATTTTTATTAATTAATTAATTAAAAAAAGAGATAAAGGAAAAGTGGCTTACATTTTAGCAAAACAAAGGGTACTTCTCAAGCAGTTATTCATGTCCAGAAGGTGGGAGGCCAAAGAAGCTAATGATGGGAATGTGTTTCAATAGATCCTCCGAATCATTGGTCTAGTGTCTCACCCAAGTGTCTATGAGGCTGAGGCTTCTCATGCTCCTCAACTGTTGATAAATGCAAGGGGAGGTCAAGGAGCTAGATGAGTTGGTTTTACCAAGGTTTTCGAAAATACATATAATCTGAAGTTGTGCGTAGACGCTGAATTTTTATCTTAATTACGGCTCAGTAATGATAAAAGATTTTAAGTAAATTTTGAGTCTCAGATGTACAATTATTTTCGATTTCTATTTCAATCATGTGAGTTTAAATGTTAGAATTTATCGAACTCCTTTGTTGTGACTGGATTTCTCGGGCCCTGCATCGAGACAGTGTCAAGAGTGGTATGGAATTTTCTATTATGCATCCCGCCACACTGGTTCATTTTGCGTGCCAAGTGGATTAGGTCTTCGGGTCCCATTAATCCATAGAGCCCATTAAAGATTTTATGGTACTAAGCCTTAAGCTTAAGGTTTAATTTCTCATTTTTCTTATAAACTAGTTGTATCTCCGCACATTGTGCGGGTTAATAGTTATATGATTTATTATGAAAGAGTTATATTATTTTTTATTTAAAAATTATTTTATTTGTTGTTTATAATATTTCATCTATAGACTATAAACAATCGTATCACGTTATTCATTAATAAAGTTATTTTTTGATAAATTAAAAGATTCATGAAAAATGACAAAAATTATAAAGAAAATTTCAAAAATATATAAATAATTGATACAAATTAAGTTTGATTATATAATAAAAGAAATAATATGTATCGTTTACTTTTTTTTCTTAAAAAAATATATTTTTTTAGTCTTTGACTATTATAACAAAAACTATTAATGCAACCTTTTCTATAAATTTAAAAATGATAAAATAATTCTACCCTAACAAATTTAAAATAATAAATTCATCTTCTTAACTAAACTAAAAACAATAAACATAAATATTGCTTTTGCAAATTGAAATAATATATTTTGCTCAAACCATAAATTTACCTAAATGGAAAAAAGAGAGAAACTTCATTAATCAGTGACCATTCTTCATTAATCAGTGACCATTAAATGTCTTTTGCTCAAAATATTAATTTTTACCACTATCCAAAAAAATATTGAATTTGAAAAAGAAAATAAAAATTTATATGGCAAATATAGTAGATGTAATACTCATATACATAGTACTCAAAAGATAATTAAAATTTTAGAAAAAAAAAGGATAATGAAATTATAAAATATTAAAATATTATATCAATATATATTGTGGTTATTGATTATTGAAAAAATTAATTAGTCTTTTATTATTAATGAAAAAATTTATTATTTGGATTATTAATTATTGAAAAAATGGCAAATATAGTAAGATGTAATACTCATATACATAGTACTCCCAAAGATAATTAAAAATTTTAGAAAAAAAAAGGATAATGGAAATTATAAATATTAAAATATTATATCAATATATATTGTGGTTTTATTGATTTGAAAAAAATTTAATTAGTCTTTTTTTAATGAAAAAATTTTATTAATTTGGAGTTATTAATTTATTGAAAAAAAAAAAAAAAAAAAAAGAACCAAAGAGTTTTTTTAATGAAATAAAAATATTATATTTTATTAATTGTTGAATAAAGAAAATAAAAAGTTTTATAATTTAATTTTTTAAATTAGATAGTTAAATAAAAAATACTAAAAATTTAATAAATAATAAGATTTCACATCAATAACTAAGTTTCATAATATAATGCCACGTAAGCAAACTTGGTTGAACTTTTATATATTTATATAAATAGATATATATTTATATAAATAGATAGAACATATTAAGGAGAGAGAAGGGACTAATGACTAAGGTTTTTTTATAAAGATGAAAAACATTTTTTAGGTTTTACAATAAAAATTTTGGTTTTTGAAAAAAATTAATCAATCAATCATTACAAGAAAGAAAAAGGATCTAGATATTAAATCCTAGGAACATAAACTCCGATTTTGATTCAGAAGTTTTGGATTTGAAGGTGTTCTTAAGCCTTCAAACTTGATCTTCCTCATTTTCTTCAAGAAAGGTATTTCTAAGAGTCTAATCTTGCATTTTGATTTATTTCTACCTTTTTTTGTTGGTGAAAATCAGTTTCTAAATATTTGGACACAAGTGTTGACGCGTGTCTTTATGCCCTCACCTAACCTAATGAGGATACGAGGACGCGGAATGAGGGATCATGGTTATCTGGAAGTCTTTAAACCCAAGGATTGATTTAAACCAATTTGAGGGTGACTGATTTTTTAAACCAATTTTGAGGGTGACTGATTTGCATTAGAGTTGGCGTCAATAACGCAGCTATAAGGTTGCCGTTGGGGGGGGGGGGGGAAAAGACGGCAACGCACAAGTTTGCGTCGATGCAACTCCAATTAAAATGAAACGTCACCTTGAAAGCCCGACAGTAACGATTTTATCATTCTGTTTTGGATAACGTGGACACGGTCCAGAAAGTGAGCCTGCGTCACGCCAGCTATCGGTCGGCGTCAACCGCAGCCGTCAGTGCGTGAACGAAGCTTATCCCCTGTTGTGTGGGTCACCCGTATAGTCGTATGGCACAACCTAAGAGGGGGGGTGAATTGGTTTTTCTAAAAACTGAAATAAATTTTTGAAAAAATTCTAAAACAGAAATATAGAATTCTAAGTGCAGCGGAAAACACACAGAACTTGTGAGAATAAGATATGGATAAGAAGTCACCTCCACAATGTTCTATGATTATAAAAAGATAGAAAGTCTTGTTGCGAAGTGCAGCTATTGATTAGAACAGCTTCACAGACTGACTTATATACTATCAGAGCTTCTTTTTAGTGAAGGAAATGTCATGAAATTTAGGACTTCCTCATAAAGTTTTTTGGAAATCATATAAAGCTATGTTGAAGACAAGTTATAAAATTTCAACACTTTTTTCCCAGAGCCTTAATCAAATTATCAGATGTTTTGATGGGAAGCTATCAGGATTAGAATAATCCTCATAAAGTTTAAACGAAATTAATTAGAAACACAATCAAGTGAAATATACGCGTGAATAGAAACAACATTTAGAACAATGGTATATTCACTTTATTAGAAATACCAGAGTTTCTAATGTTTCAGAATAATTAAGACTGTGTTACCATTTTTCAGAACATCTGAATCATTAACAATTTAAGCGTTTCCTTAAAAATTAAACCCAAAAGGTGTTATAAAGACAGTATCAAGCAAACTTCCAGAAATAAAAGATCAACACAGAGAATTATAAGTCGGTTCGGCACTAATTCGCCTACATCCACTCCCAAGATCGCAAATCTTGAGATCCACCTCAAACTTATGTTATCTCTTTTAAAGGGTTAAGAGACAAACGCAACAGTACAAGGTCAAATAGATTCAACACCTAGATGCTTATCCCTTTGTCCCACTAGATTTTCCAAAGGTTTCTAGTTAACCCTTCAACCCTTTTCTATTTTTGGCAGAGTACAGAAACTCAAATTCAGACATTAATATTCCACAACGATGGAGAAGGTCGCTTGATAACCTCTCTAATCCTCATAGCTTCTAACCTAAAGCTATTACACACAAAAGTTTAATCAAAATAAAGAGCCTGTCTACTATAAGATTACAGAATCTAAATAGACAAGAAAGAAACGCCCATAAAGCAACAGGAAAAACAGTTTTTATCAGATTAGAAGATCGATTAGAACACAGAACTGTTTTTCAAAAGTATTGTAAAAATTCTTTTCACTTTAATATTGAAAAACGTTAAGTGTAGAGATGAAAAAGAAAAATGGGGGTAGAGAGTAAGCTTTTGAAGAGTAAAAGATTTGATCAATGAGAAAATGCTCTTAAAACAAAAACTTTACTTCACCAATGTTTTAAGAAGTGAAAGCTCCTTTTATATAGCGAGCCTACAGAAGCTGTCCGCCCTTTGGAAAGAGATTTTATTTTGAAATCAGAATAAATCAGAATATCTTCTTTCCTTATTTAGAAGATATGAAAATCTTTGTTACCAAAAGTTTATATTATCCTTTTTGGTAAGAGAATAAAACATGATTTTTACTTTCCTTTAACCAAAAGATTTTCGGCAACATTATTTGGAAAATATTTTGCGGAAGGATGCTCTTATTAAAAATGAAAAAGATTCCCCTTCGTTCTTAAGGTAAGAAAAAAAAAGATTTAAGTACTTTAGATCTTTCAAAATATATTTCCGAAAAGTGTATGATTTTATTACCAAAAACATTAGAGAAGAAATCTCTTTAGTTTTAGGAAAAGGTTTTAGGAAAATAAATCATTTCGGATTTAATAAGTATTTTCGAATAAAAATAAAATATGTTTTTACGATAGAAAATAATTCTTGAAGAAATCTAATTTTCCGCGAAAAGATAATTGTTTGAGAGAGAAAGAAGTAATTTTTGTGCCTCATATATGGATTGTTCCTCTCTATCCTACTAAAGTGGTCCTAAATCCTAGTTACTAGGTTCTTCGAATAACTTCAACACTCAAATGTGAGGAGCTTGCTTGGTATGAGTTTTCTTTCGCATACAGCATTCTGCATAAAAATAAATATTAGCAGCAAAATAATAATAATTTGTAAATTTATTTGTTTTGTAATTAATCATCAAATTCGAGATTAAGAATTGTACCCTTGGAGCCAAACAATCTCCCCCTTTTTGATGATGACAAAACCAAGTAAATTTTAGTAAACATAAAAGTATGTGCTCCCGCCTGAATTTGTTATGGCATATAAGCTTCGTAAACATGGCCAAAGATTTTAATATAAGCAAATTAGAACATGTATTTTTGGGCTCCCCCTGAATAATGCAGATAAACTATTTTGTAAAAATTAAAATTAGAACTAGGGAGGCCTTTTAGAAACTGATTTTAGAACTAGCAAAACATAGGCAAGATATTCTAAGTTCTAATAATCAGAGCATATGTAAATATATATTAGAACTAGCAGAGATAGACAAGATGTTCTAAGTCCTAATAATTAGAACATATGGTCAGAGCAAAAGCAACAGAAACTGATATTAAGAACAAAAAATCTTACGTCCAACCTGCAAAACAGTCGTTAGAGTAAGAATCTAAATTCTAAAAACACTCAGCTTATCATATAGAAAATATGCTCGACAACATAGACCATATAGAAAGCAATAGCCATCAGCAATCAACACAGATATAAGTACCTTAGTTACTAAGTACGTACCAAAACATTCAGAATATCACCAAAATACCTGCGTTCTCCCCCTTTTTGTTATCATACAAAAGGGTTAGACACAATTAAAGCAAAATAAAGAAAAATAAACAGTTCAAAAATATAATCCTACGAAGATAAAGCAAAAATAAATTGTTCGAAACATATAAGAAACAAATCAGAGAGGCTTAGAATCAGTTCTAAGTCTCTTAGAAGTCCTCAAGTTCTTAGCTGGAGCAGTCTCAGAAGAACTCTCTGGCCTTTTAGAAGATGGGTGTAGTGGAGGCTTCCTTCCATGAGTTTTATGCTTTCCTACAGTGTGCTTCATGTTCTTTGGTTTC